TATCTATCTATCTATCTATCTATCTATCTATCTATCTATCTATCTATCTAAGTATCTATCTATCTATCTATCTATCTATCCATCCATCCATCCATCCATCCATCTATATCTGTCTGTCTGTCTGTCTGTCTGTCTGTCTGTCTGTCTGTCTACTGTATCTATCTATCTACCTATCTGGCCCCCAATCTTCCTAAGCCAGAATCGGATCCCCTCTTGAGGCTCAGCTAAGAGAGAACTTCCCCCCCCCCCCCCCCACCCTCTCTGTCCATCCTTCTGAGGTGGGACTGGCCTCCTCTGGCTGGTCTCTCATGGCTGGAGAAGTCCTGGATGGTCTCCTTTCCTCACCATTGTACTTGGGTCTTGGCTCATCCAAGGACAGACTCAAGAAGGACAGAAGCTTCCAGAGAGATTCCAGAGAGATCCACTTGGATCCAGTCCATTCAGGGATCTACAAAGCTCTGCCGAGTGCTATACAACTCAATGCTCTTACCTTAGACAGGATTCATGCACCGAACGCTACAAGCATAATTGCAACACTTCTGATTGCCATCACATTCCCAGTCACTTTTACACTTCACGTCACAAGTAGAGAACAGGCCTTCAGGTGCTCGGGGACATGTGCCACGCTTCCCAGATAGAACTAAATAAAACAGCCCAGTAATTAGTGGTTTCTTTTGTTTTATGCTGGGTTATTATGCTGAACAAATCAAACAAGTACTCAAGCATCAATACATAAATGTTTCTCTTTTAGTGTTGCATAATGATTCTTTTAGCCAGGCTGAATAATCCACAATCCTTAAATTCTTGGTAAATTCCAAGAATTAGAGCCAAAGTAGAGCCAAGAAGAGCAGGGAAGCTCATGGACAGGCAGGGACTGATCCAGAGGCATCTCAACCGTCCCCTTCAAGTTGGCTCCCAATGTAACAGTTGTAGGAATTATTGTATAAATAAATAAAAGAGCAAACTAACCAATCAATGCCTGCTCCTCTCTCCAAAAAGAATGGGGACTCTAACCAGTCCTTACTGAACATTTTTTGAGGTTCCAGTGTATGTAAAAATAAATTAAATTAAATATATTAATCTCAATTTAACATCATGGGAGATTAAGATTATGGCCATGGATAATTTCTATGAATCTTGCCCCAAATGTGCTTTTTCAAGAGGCAACTAGACTTTATTTTTCCTTGAAGATGTTCTGCTTCTCATCCAAGAAGCTTCTTCGGTTCAGAACTTCAGTGCTTTTGATAAAGCACCTTTGGGACAATCATGATCCGGACGATGGCGAACCTTCCTAGACATACTTTTATGAATCCTGTTACAAGACTGGGTGTAGGGAGAAGTGGATGGCAAACAATGGCCAAATTTTGATCCTAAAGAAGATCAGAGAAGGAAGTCCATTCTGAGGTCAAAGAAGGACAAGAGGAAAGGGGGGTGTCAGTGCAGCAGGTCACTTTTGATGCAGCAAAGGACAAGTTGGGCTGATGTGCAAGCGATTGTGGTGGAAAGCAACTTGTAGAAGCTAGAAAGGGAGCTGACCCTGAGGCTGGTTGGGAGACTCCCACTTCATTCATAGGCCTATCATTTATTGGGCACTTCTGTGCATCTCCTGGCCAGTTGGTCAGTGGTGCAAGTGAGGATGAGCATGGGTGTTTTGTGATGCTTGACCCATAAAGTCTAGATGACCAGAGACCCACTGGAGGCTGGACTTCCTCCTGCAGCTACCATCCCTCCCTAAGATGCAAAAGCTCAACTCTATCACAAGGTATCTGGGCAGAAACACCACGATTTAGGAAGGGGGAGGGAGAAATTGGGGACACCAGTGGGGTTTCCTTTACTGCTTCCTATAGAACAGTGTTTCTCAACCTTGGAAGCTTGAAGATGGGTGGACTTCAACTCCCAGAATCCCCCAGCCAGCGCTGCTGGCTGGGGGATTCTGGGAGTTAAAGTCCACCCATCTTTTTTTTTTATTGCAAAAGTTTTACAATTACATTTTCCCCCCTTTCCCCCCCCCCCCCGCCTCCCCCCCCCAAACTTCCCAACCTCCCTAACCCTCCCTAACCCTCCCCTCCCCCCAGACTTCCCTATAATATATTCATACTCATAAAAAACCCTTAATATAACACTTATATGTAAACTTGAACCCCTCCCTCCCCTGTGTAATTTTTCTCTTTACCTCATTACATTAAAATATTTCCACTACATTACATTATTTTCAAATAAAAGCTATTTGATACTTTCTAGTTTGATATTTGTTCTGAACATATTCTATCCACCTTTTCCATTCCCACTCATAAGTCTCTTGTGAACAGTCTTTTAAATATGCTGAAATCTTCGCCATCTCTGCAAAACTGGCCATCTTCAAAGTCCATTCCTCAATAGTGGGCAAAGCTTCATTCTTCCAATATTTACCTATCAACAATCTTGCTGCTGTTATCATATACAATATCAATTTTGTTTCACCCAATGTAAAACCCTTAACTATACCCAATAAAAACAGTTGTGGAGAAAATTGAATTTTTTTCTTCAAAACATTCTGCATGACCCACCAAATTTTTATCCAAAAAGCTTTAACTTTCCTACAGGTCCACCAAACATGATAATACGTAGCATCCAAACATTCACATCTCCAACATTTTGGCTGAACATTAGGGTACATACATGACAACTTTTTGGGATCTAAATGCCATCTATAAAACATTTTGTAGAAATTTTCCCTCAGATTCTGCGACTGTGTAAATTTAACTGTGTAAAATTAACATAAGAAAGTCCACCCATCTTCAAGCTACCTGCACAAATGGTACCTGGGGGGAGGTGCCTGCGGGGAGGAGCTGTTCTCCTGGGAACAGCTGGGCTGTACTTCCCAAGAACTGGAAAAAGTGGGGCCAGAGCACTTGAAAGGAACTGCCCAGGATTGGGAGCAGAAGTAGGTGGGCCTTGGCCCAGTTGGGAACCCCAATAATGAGCACCATCTAATAGGGAGGAATTGGCTGAAGGGCAGAACCTGAGGGCAAATGGCCTTGCTTGGTAAATACCAGTCATATTCAAAAGGGTCAAAGGATAATTTTAGCAAACGAAGAGAAGATACATTGAGGGCTCCTTGGTGGTCTCTGAGCTTGGTGCTTTTATTACCCAAACTAGGTAATATCAATAGTGCTTGTTATCAGATATATATTGATGGTCGTGCTCATTTGGTTCTATGAGGAAGTTATTTGGTCAATACAGCTTCAGATTCAAAAGGTTGTTTTATTATTGACAAATATATACATGCATACGATAATGGACAGGGTGTCCTGTTGCATTTTTACCCTAACTGTATGACTCAGATGTTGAGAGGAGAGAGAAGTTCACGTGTTGTCTTGCTGAGAGATAGATGAGAGAGAGAGAAAAAAGGGGAAGATATCCAAGTGGTTTCTAGGTAAGAGTCCAATAAGAGAGTTCATTGGCTGATATAGTCACATGTGATGTCTGTAAAGACTTAACCCCTTCTAGTCTCTGGTGCATCATATGCAGGCAATATCTGACACTTGTGACGTTCTAGCACTGATGATATTACCTAGTTTGGGTAATAAAACATCTGCAAGAAAACCATCAACCTCAGAGAATGCCAGGGACTCCACAGTCCTCCTCCACTTCCTTCTAGCATTGATGATGTTCCCTAGTTGGGTAATGAAATGTCTGCAAGAAAACTACCACTACAGAGAGTACCAGGGAACCCACAGTCCTCCTCCTCCTCCTCCTCCTCCTCCTCCTCCTCCTCCTCCTCCTCCTCTCCACAAACCCCACTTCTTTCTAGCAATGATGATGTTCCCTAGTTGGGTCATGAAACTTCTGCAAGAAAACTACCAAACTCAGAGAGAATCAGGGTCTCTTCACTCTCCCTCCTCTTCCTCTTCCTTCTCCTCTTCCACCACTCTGCAAACCCCCCTCCCTTTCCAGCACTGATGATATTACCTAGTTGGGTCATGAAACATCTGGAAGAAAACAAGCAAGTTCAGAGAGCACCCTCATTTCAACCCTGAGCTACAAATATTCTCCTTTATTAGAAGATACTTTCATTGGCTTCCCAGATGGCCAGACGTAATGTCCGTTGTGGTCCCTTCCATCTTCCTCAGTCTCTGACTTGTTCCAAGGGAAGAGGGGAGATGGACCATGTGGATATGAAGCGCACACAATGAAGCAAGAATTTGGAGACCCCCCACCTTACCCTTTTGTCCCGTTGAAGGGGGTGTCTCAGCCAGGAGGAGGAGGAGACCCAGAAGGAGGAGAACGTGCGTAGCTTTCATGGTGCCCAGAATGCCAGGTTGGGCTGGGCAGATGGACCTTTAAGTCCTGCTTTGAGGAAGTGAGAAGTGAGAAGGGCCCTTGTGGGAGCAAGGGGAACTGGAAAGGTGTCACAATCACTTTCTCAACAAAACAGACAGGTGGCCTTTCCTTTGTCAGGTGAGCCAGGCAGGTGAGGAAGACAAACCTACGTCTTTATCAATGAAAGGTCCCTTGTGCTTACAATAAGGCTTTGTGTGGGCAGAGATGGGGAGCCCCGGGGCTGTTCTGTTGCTCCTTCCTGGATCCTGAGTTACAATCTATGTTTGCACGCGGGGATTACCTGAGAAGGTCACGCAGCTCCCCTGTCAAAGCCACAGTTGGGACTCCGGAGGTTCCATTTATTTCTTTACGGTATTACAGTCCCTCTCTGTGAGATATTACAGTATCTCACAGAGCGGGGCTCCTCCAGGTGCCGTCGGCCAAACAATGTCGGCTGGCGGCCCCCAGGGGGAGAGCCTTCTCTGTGGGGGCACCTACTATCTGGAACGAGCTCCCCCCGGAGATACGGAGGATCCCGGATCTATGCACCTTCTGCCGCGCTCTCAAGACCTTTTTATTTCACCAGGCGGGCCTGGCCTAACCTCTCCCATTCTCTTTCTAATGTAAATTTTAATGTAAATTTTAATTCGTTCTTAACCTGGGGTTTTAAATTTGTCTTGGGCTAAACTGATTTAATTTGATTTTACTTCTGTTCTTAATTTTTGTATTTTACGTGTTTTATTCTGTGCCTGTTCACCACCCTGAGTCCTTCGGGAGTAGGGCGGTATACAAATTAAATAAAATGAAATGAAAATGAAATTAAATAAAAGTCTTGCAATGTTAAGGACGGAGTTGGGTAGGGATCCCCACACAAACAGTGACCCATTTCAGGGGTGGGGGGACAAATCAGAGCTCTCAAACTGACCCCAAAGTGTTCCAATATTTGGGGGGCTGCCCCAAAAAAGGAGGGGGGTCAAGCTATTCTCCAAAGCACCAAGGCAAGAATCAAAGGATGGAAACCAATCAAGGAGAGAAGCAACCTGGGATTAAGGAGAAACTGTTCCTAACAGTGAGGACAATTAACCAGTGGAACAGCTGGCCTCCAGAGGTTCTTAAGAAGAGACTGGACAGTCCTGTAATGGTATGGGGTCTCCTGCTCCAGAAGGGGCTGGACTAGCAGACCTCCAAGGTCCCTTCCAACCCTGTTATTCTATTAATTCTGAGACTCTTTTTTCTTGTCCTGCCTTCTGAAGCTTTGGAAAATAAGTCGACCCCCTCCTCATTTCCTGACAGTGAGAAGAATTAACCAGTGGAACTGCTTGCCAGCAGAAGTTGTGGTTGCTCCAAAAAATGGAAGTTTTCAGGAAGAGACTAGACAGCCATTTGTCAGAAATGGTGTGGGGGTCTCCTGCTTGAGCAGGGGGTTGGACTAGAAGACCTTCAAGGTCCCTTCCAACTCTGTTATTCTTTTAAATCCTCAACTTCTTTGCTCCTGCAAATATTCTAACTCCCCTTCTTCAACTGGTAGTTGCAATGTGTAGATTCCTCTTTCAATCTGGGGAGGTGGGGGAATACGATTTTGGCAATGATTGCCACGTTGAACATTTTATGCATTTGGGTTCAACTGAATATTGGAAGGGACCTTCTAGGTCATCTAGTCTAACCCCCTGCCAAAGCAGGAGACCTACACCATTTCTGACAAATGGCAGTCCAGTCTCTTCTTGAAAGCCTCCAGTGATGAAGCTCCCACAACCTCTGAAGGCAACTTCTGTTCCATTGACTGATGGTTCTCACTGTCAGAAAATTTCTCCTTATTTCCAGGTTGAATCTCTCCTTGATCAGTTTCCATCCATTGTTCCTTCTCTGGCCTTCAGGTGCTTTGGAGAATAGCTTGAGCCCCTTCCTCCTCTCTGGGGCAGCCCCTCAGATATTGGAAGGCTGCTCTCCTGTCTCCCCTGGTCCTTCTCTTCACTAGACTAGCCAGGCCCAGTTCCTGCAACCGTTCATCCTATGTTTTAGCCTCCAGTCCCTATCTTTGTTTCTCTACTCTGGGCCTTCTGCCTGAAGTGATGCCAAGCAGCTGGGGAATGGCAGTCTGGCACAAACCACTGGTCCTCGCAGCAGGAGCTGAGTCTGCCCTCTGAATGTCTTGTTGCACCCAACCAGTGGAGTTCCAGACGGCTGCTGTGGGGGCTGCATGGAGCCCCTGGGTGAGCCCTTGCCCGGGTGCCAGTTCTCCCTGCAGAAAGGGGCAGCCCTGCCCATTGGAGGCAGGTCAGAGGCCTGACATCCAGGAGAGCAGCAGGGACACCTTGGCCTCCAGCACCAGGACCTGGTGGCTCCACTCCCATCCGGATGAAAGCGCCATCCATCACTTCTGCCCTGGGAGATGCCAACCAAGCCCTGCAGGAGGGCAACATGTCAATGCTGGCACCGCTCGCCTTGGTGGGAAACTCCGGGTGCCTGGCTGATGGAGGGAACTGGGGGGGACGGACCCACTCCCACCCCCATTGTCTGGCCAGGTATATAGGGCAAGGGGGGCTGGCTTGGCCTCCTCCAAGCCTCTTTGGAGCAGCAGCATGAAGTCTCAGGCCTTCTGGCTCCTTGTGGGGATGGTCACATCCACGGCTGAGCGAGGGAGGGGAGGTGAGTGGGTACCTTTGCAGCTCTCCAGCCGGAGGTGAGGCCCAGCCTTGGGGGGGGGGGTGTTCTTGCTCCAGGCCCTGAATGCCCTCCCCAGGGGCAAGGCACCGAATGGGGTTCTGAGCCCAGGAGCCAGCAGTTCCCACGGAAGGAGTTCCCGGGTGTGGCCCCTCCCTGGACTTGGTAGCTACAGGAGGGACCCCAGGGAAAAGATGGCACAGGGCAGACTGAGGGGGTGGGGTCCCTGGCGAAGAATTTACAGGGATCCCTACCTCAAAGCAAGACTCCAAGTCTTTGGCATTGGTAGGTCCTTTGGGGAACTACTAGGCTTCCTGGGTTGGGGGAGAGGAAAGGAGGGGTCCAGGTCTCCAACTTGGACCGCAAGAAGCCTTCCCAGCCTTGGCACCCCCGTCCCATCAGACCTGACACCTCTCTGCCTCCTCTTCACAGCTGCCAAGGGAGCAAGCCCAGACCCCTTCCGGTCTCAGGAGCCGGTCCCAGGGAAAGCTGGCCGGTGCCCAGCGGGAAGCGCCCAGGAGCCCCTGCCCTCCAGGCTCTACTGCCTCTCAGACGCTTCGTGCCCGGGGGGCAAGAAGTGCTGCAGCCTGGGCCGAATGAGGATCTGCACACAGCCTGCGCTGGGTAGGGGGGCTGCAAGGGAGGGGGCTGCCCTGTGACTCGCCCCACAGGGCCCCTCGCCAGCCTGGTTCTCAAGGCTGAGTAGAAATGGTTTGGGGGGGCAGAGGGCAGTGCACCCACAGTTGGGCTGCTCCCTGCTGAGAGGGGCTGGGCGTCAGCAGGCCATGCAAAGTCCTGCCTCTTTCTTACGTTCGTCTCACCTTGGTGGCTGCCATCCTGCCTGCTTTGGCCGTACCTGAGAACCCGGCTGGAAGGGGCCCACAGACACACTGTGGAGGTGATGCCACCAACAGGGACCAGCTACAGGTAGTCCTCAACCTATGACCGCAATTGAGCCCAAAATTTATGTTGCTAAGCGAGACAGTTGTTAAGTGAGTTTTGCCTCATTTTATGTCCTTTCTTTTTTTTTTATTGAAAAAGTTTTTCAAATACAAATTTCCCCCCCCCTTTTCCCCCCCTCCTCCCTAACCCCCCCTCCCCCTCCCCTCCCCCTGTGGCTTCTCCAAAATGAAACCCAAATTCATAACAGATTATATAATATTTACCATCCCTTTGCTCCACCCCCCATACGCTGATCCTTTCTTTCTAATAATATTATTATATCCCCCTTATACTATACATTTCAAAATAACATTCAACTGTAACATTATATAATAACTCCTAATTTAACATAATAATATTATTATATCCCCCAGTTTAGCAATTTCTACTCATAATCTACCCTTTTCCTCCTCCCCCATACATATATCTCTTAATTCAAATCTGAAGGTTGCTTTGAAATGTTATATTAATATATGTAAAAGATTTGAATTTTATGTCCTTTCTTGACACAGTTGTTAAGTGAATGGCTGCTGTTGTTAAGTGAGTCACACGTCTGCTAAGTGAATCTGGCTTCCCCATTGACTTTGCTTCTCAGAAGGTCACAAAATGGGATCACGTGACCCCGAGACATGGCAACCGTCATAAATATGACTCGGTTGCCAAGGTCTGAATTTTGATCACGTGACCATGGGAATGCTGCAGTGGTCATAAGTGTGAAAAACGGTCATAAGTCAATAAAGGAGAATATTTGTAGCTCAAGGTTGAAATAAGGGAACTCTGCCGCTCTCTGAGCTCGCTTCATTTCTTGCAAACGTTTCATGACCCAACTAGGGAACATCCTCAGTGCTAGAAGGGAGCGGGGGATACAGAGAGGAGGAGGAGGAGGAGGACTCGGGGGTCCTTGGTGCTCTCTGAGCTTTACAGTAATGGCCAAAATTGTGGAAACCTTTTGGGAAAAGTGTATTATCCCCGTGTCAGTTAATCCTTCGTTGGGTAACCTTTAGCATGAATGATGGCCTTACAACATCTTCCCATGGGGGGGGACTCAGTCTTTTAGTTCCGCAGCTGTTCTAACGTGAAACCAAGATTGGATGATGGCTTCTATTAACTGGGTTTTATTGCTGGGTCGCTTCTGACCTCAAAAATACACTTTTCCCAAAAGGTTTCCAGAATTTTGGCCACGACTGTATGGTTTTCTTGGAGACATTTCATTAACCAAGTAGGGTACATCATCAGGGTTAGAAGGCAGGTGGGTTAACTGCTGATGTTACCTAGTTTGGCTAATGAAACGTCTTGCAAAAAGCCACCAAGCTCAGAGAGCACCAGGGACCCCACAGTCCTCCTCCTCCTCTCCATAATCCTTCTAGCACTGATGATGTTCCCTAGTTGGGTCATGAAACGTCTGCGAGAAAACAGCCAAGCTCAGAGAGCTCCAAGGGCCCCTCAGTCATCAGTTACTTTTTTCAGTGTCATTCTAACTTTGAACCGTTACTAAATGAATGGTTGTAAGTCGAGGCTACCTGCATTGCTCTGGGCCTTTTGAAGAGGGGGGTGGGCTTCTGCCCCCATTGGCAAAAACGGCTCAGTCTCTCGGCCAGCTGCCAAGCCAGGCCAGCCTTTCCCAGGGCTGGGGGCAGGACCGAATGGAGACCAGGATGCTGGGATGCAGCCTGCCTGCCAGTCTGGGATGGGCAAGGGGGCCTTCTCTTCTGCCCCTTCTTTTACAGTAAACCCCGGCTACTGCCCCACTGCCTGCCCCACGGCCCTGGAGCCCTGCCGGGTGTCCTGCCTGGATGATGTCGCCTGTGGTCCCGGGGAGAAATGCTGCCTCCAGGACTGCCAGCTGCGGTGCGTGGTGGCAGAGCGAGGTGAGGGGGCCTAACGTGGCTGGGCAGAGGGAGGGTCTCCTGTGGGGGTGGGGAACAGGGGAGAGGGGCCACTCCGGCAGCTGCTGTCCAGCCAGGCTCGGGGTCAAGCACCACAGGGCAGGCACCTAACCTGGGCAGGCTCTGCTCATCCCTGGCATCTTCCCATCTTTGCCGCAGTCCGACCGGGCCTCTGCCCGAGGAGGAGGGTGCTGCCCACCGGGACCCCCTGCCCAAACCGATGTGAGGATGACAGAGGCTGCCCCCCAGGCCAGAAATGCTGCTTCACCGGCTGCGGCTTGGAGTGCCTGCGACCCAGAGCAGGTAGCACCTCACTGAGCTTGAACTCCCCCCGCCCTGCCCCGCCTTCCTGACCTTGGCACCTGAGACAATGGTTCCAGCTGGCATTTAGGAAGAACAAAACGAAGAAGGAGAGACTGCCAGCTTTTTGCAAAGAAACGGCTCCTTGGCAAGCCAACCTGTCCTTGGCAAGGAAGGCTCCCTGCCCCAGGGGCATTCTTTGCAGGTGGAAAGCAGGGGAAGGGGTCCATCTGGGCCTCTGCCCCCTGCCCAGAACACAAAAGCAGGTGCTTTGGCCGCTGGACGGCATCCTGGGAGGGGGGAGATTTCGAGCAAGTGGTGGTGTTTCTTTATTTTTTTTTCTTTCCAGACATTTTCATTAGGTGATTAAGTATTATAAAATACAAAATATGAAGGTAAATAAAAGAACAATGAGGAGGAAGGAAAGAGGGGAAGAAAAGTGAGGAAAGAAAAAGAAAAAGAAAAAGATTGACTTCTGACGGTCTCTGCTGCAGTAAAATAAGGCATTGGCATCAAATCACAGCTTTTTGTTTTCCCATAATAATATGAACAAGTCATTTCTATAAAGGTCTATCCATCTAATCTGTAAAGCCCAAAGCCAAGGGGGCGTTTCTGAGGGACCGCACCCACCAGAGGGGCCTGCTCCGTAGCAGCTGTTTGGGGGTCTCACAGCCAGAAATGGATCTGCCAGGCCGAAGAGGGGCCCTCCTTGGCTGCAGGGGAGCCTGGCTGCCCACTGAGGGCCCCGAGGGGATGTACAGTAGTCCTCGACTTACGACCACAATTTTAGCCCAACATTTTGTTGCTAAGTGAGACAATTGTTGAGTTTTTCTCCATTTTACGACCTTCCTTGCCACAGTTGTTAAGTGAATCTGGCTCCCCCGTTGACTTTGGTCACCAAAGGAGATCACATGACCTCAGGACACAGCGACCGTCATAAATATGAGTCAGTTGCCAAGAATCCAAATTTTGATCACGTGACCCCAGGGATGCCACAGCAGGGGTAAGTGTGAAAATCGGTCCTAAGTCACTTTTTCAGTGCCATTGTAACTTCGAATGGTCACTAAACAAGAGGTTGTAAGTCAAGGACTAGATGCATTGGGGGGGATCGCTGCACTCCAAGCCCCCCCCCCATCCCCACTGCACCCACCCCACTGCAGGGCAAGGAAATGGAGGGGACCTCGCCTGGCCCCTTCCCCAGCCCTGCCAGGTGGGCACCCAAAGGAGGTCAGATGGATGAGGAGACAACCTGCCCACATAAAGAATCCCACCCCCCAGATTTTTGCATCGACATTGTAACGTGATAGATCTCAGGGCAGGAGCCTGGTAGATTGATTCTGTTTTCTTAATCCTTCACTTTAGAGCAGGGGTCTCTAACCTTGGCGGACTTCAACTCCCAGAATTCCCCAGCCAGCAAAACTTTAAGCCTGGCGGATTTCAACTCCCAGAATTCCCCAGCCAGCAAAACTTTAAGCCTGGCGGATTCTGGGAGTTGAAGCCCTCCAGGCTTAAGATGTCCAAGGTTGGAGACCCCTGCTTTAGAAGAAATGACAAGAAGACTGTCATTTGTCTTTGGAAGCCCTCCCCTTGCCCACCCGCTTCTGTGCCCCAAGGCCACGGCTCTCCCTGCCCCACATCCCCTCAGGTTTTTTTCCTAGAAGCACCAGATCCTCATTGATCTCCTCCACGACTTCAGTCTAGATCAGTCGTCCTTAGGCTTCGCCATTTGGTGTCCCGAATGGTGTCCTGGAAGTATCTCTCTTTTTTTCCCCCAGAAGATCCTGCGGTTTGCACAGACCCACCGACAGCAAAATGCCAAGATCGCTGTAGAGACGACTCCGATTGTGCAAAGGAGGAGAAGTGCCGCCCCACGGCTTGTGGCTTCCAGTGCCAAGGGCCTCCTCCAGGTACGTCCTGGCTTTGCACAGGCCTCCCAGGGACCTCACTCCAAGCCTAAGGAGGTGGAGGGGAAGACCTCTAGTGGCCAGTGCAGTTCTTGCTTTCTCGAAGGACGTTCAGAAGAACATAATGAAGCAAGTGGGAGGGGAGGGGAGGGAGGGGGAGGGAGGGAAGGAGGGGCTGGGCAGGGATCCGAGGCAGAAGGGGAGCCCAGGTGCTTAATAGGGGGTGGGGGGGAGAGGCAGGGGCTTCAGCCTACTCTCTGATTGCAGGAAAGCCTGGAGTGTGTCCCTTGCTGTTGCGGGGGTCTCTGGGACCATGCGTGGGAAAGACGCTGAGAAACTGCACTCATGACTTTGACTGCGAGGAAGCCAAGAAGTGCTGTTCAAACGGCTGCAGGATGGTCTGCAAGGAGCCAGGGGAAGGTCAGCTGGCCAACTGGGGGTAGAGAGACCCTGAAGCCTTCCTCCTCCTCCTCCTCCTCCATTCCCCACTCGGTTCTGGCATCTCCCCAAAGCCCTGGGAAGCCCGGGGCTTGGGGCCGCCACCATCGGTTCCCCAAAGAAAGGGGATGTTCTGAAGGGGTCAAGCAAGGGTTCCTTCCTCAGGGTCTTCTCCTGAAGAAAAGAGCCAGCACCTTCTCCCCTCTCTTCTCATTGGTCTTTGGAATGCTTGTGATTTTTATGCCTTCCTCCTCTTCTGCCCATCCGTTGTCTGTTTCCGTCTCTTCTGTTTTCTCAAAGAAAAGTTTTAGATTAGTAATTTTCAATGGGTTTTTTTGTAACAATGTCATAGCAGTTACATTTACCCAGAATGGAGAGACAGGAACCTTCATAAGTCCCTCTATAAATTCAGACTTCAGGTTCTGGGGAAAAATTTGCGACCATTCAGAGGAACAGGTCAATTGTTTATGTTTTATGATTATGTTTTATTAAATTTGTATACCGCCCTACTTCCGAAGGACTCTGGGCCGTGAACAGGCACAGAATAAAATACATAAATACAAAAGTTAGAAACAATTTAAAACCGAATTAAATAGTTTAGCCCAAGACAATTAAAAATCCCAATAATTTAAAACAAATTAAAATTTCAGTTTAAAAATTTAAAAGAAAGGGGAGAAAATTAGGCCAGGCCGGCTTGCTGGAATAGGAGGGTCTTAAGAGCACGGCAGAAAGTGCGCAGATCCAGGATCCTCCGTATCTCCGGGGGGAGCTCGTTCCAGATAGCGGGTGCCCCCACAGAGAAGGCCCTCCCCCTGGGGGCCGCCAGTTGACACTGCTTGGCCGGCGGCACCCGGAGGAGCCCCTCTCTATGAGAGCGTACCGGCCGGTGGGAGGCTGTTTGTGGTAGCAGGCGTTCCTGTAAATAACCAGGTCCTAAGCCATGGAGCGCTCTAAAGGTGATAACCAAGACCTTGAAGCGCACTCGGAAGACCACCAGGAGCCAGTGCAGCTCGCACAGGAGAGGTGTCACACGGGAGCGCCATGTTGCTCCCATAACCACCCGCGCGGCCACACTCTGTGCCAGTTGGAGCCTCCGGGTGCTCCTCAAGGGGAGCCCCATGTAGAGAGCGTTGCAATAGTCCAGGCGGGAGATGACGAGGGCATGAGTGACTGTGTGTAGGGAGTCCCGATCCAGAAAGGGACACAACTGGCGAATCAGGCGAACCTGACGAAAAATCCTCCTGGTCACGGCCGTCAAGTGCTCTTCTAAAGACAGCCATGAATCCAGGAGGACGCCCAAGTTGTGAGCCCTCTCCGTGGGGGCCAGCGATTCGCCCCCAATAGTCAGTGATGGCACCAACTGACTATATCGATCAAAGGCTATTGCTGAGCACATTGTAAGCCGCCCTGAGTCTTCGGAGAAGGGCGGCATATCAATCAAATTAAAAAAAATAAAAAATAAAAAATTAGCTTTGGGATATAAAGATTCACGAATATTGAATGTTTTGAGATGTGACGTTAGGTTTGAATAGGTGGTTTTTGGATTATTGGACAAAAGAGGGACAAAATATAACTAAATGAGATGCTCAACCAGCAAGAAATGAGTGGAATTTTGGAAGAAAGTATTAAGGATACTTTGACAAGAAGCTACAAGTAGATTATGAATAAAATGCAGAGCATAGATGGAGAGCTGGAAAACATGATACAAAAGACAAGGAGTGACCAAGACGCCCAGGGAGAGGAGGAGCCAATTGAAAGAGTAGATGAAAAAACAAAACAGATAAACCAACAAATAAAACAAGATGACAAGAAGGAGATAACAAAAATAATAATGACTGATGAAACAAGTCGAGGGGGGAGTATTTTAAGGGAATTTTAAAAAGGAACTGGAGTTGCAGGGTTAGGGTTAGGGTTAGCCTTTTTTGGGAGAGAGATAGGGGCAAGAGGTGATATTTTGAAAATTAGACAATGGAAAAGGGCAGAGAAGGGAGAAATGTTTAAAATGATTGGTCAAGATGTGGAAGCAGATAGAGATAAAGATCCAAGAGAGGAATATGGCAGGCAAGCTAAGAAACGAAAAATTAAAGCTTTAAAGTGGGCAAGAGACGATGGATAGAAAGGGAATGTTTTTTAATATAATAGTGGCATAATTAAAAGTTAGAATAGGGATGGAAACTAGAGGGGGGGGACTAATGAAACTAAGGGTTAGTCAGGGAGGAAGAAAGGAGGAGAAGGAGAAAGGAGGGGGAAGTAGTAAGGAGCAGGAGCAGGAGAAAAGAAAGTAAGAAGGAAGGAAGGAAGAGAGGGAGAGGGAAGAGACTGAGAAGAAAGATTGCTGTATAACAAAAAAGAGGAAATGGAAGAAAGGCAACTCCGAACACACATATAAATATTAAGATAAAGAAGGAATTGTTAATAAATAAAAGAGAATAAATGTGAACAAGTAGAAAAATGAGAATTTGAGAGCGAATGAAGATGTTGTTTATACAAATAAGCATAGAAATATTGAGATATGAATTAAAGAAAAAATAGGGGAAAAAGGGAAAATTTTGGCAAAATTGTAATTGAGTAAAATGTATTTGAACTTGAAAAATTGCATAAGATAAGATATGGCCAATACTCTGTTCAAAAAAAGATGTAGGTGAATGTGGAGGGAAAAATTCAATAAAACTTGATTCAAAAAAATCCAGCTTTCCATTCAGGGCCCTCAAAGGAATTGCTGACCTCCATTCTCCTTGAGAAGTTCAACCTATCAGTTGAACTACATCCTACAACTGTGCACTACATCCTACAACATCTTGAATCTCCAAAGACCTACACAAGGGTCCTCTTTGTAGTCTTTAGTTCAGCATTCAACACCATCATTCCAGACACTCTTCTAACTAAGCTAAACCAGCTAGCGGTACCTGAACACACTTGTAAGTGGATCATAAGCTTCCTAACAGACAGGAAGCAGCAGGTGAAGCTAAGCAGAATCACATCAGATACCTGTACAATTAGCACAGGGGCCCCCACAAGGCTGTGTGCTCTCCCCACTTCTCTTCACTCTCTACACCAATGACTGCATCTCAAACGATCCATCTGTTAAACTACTGAGGTTCGCAGACGACACAACAGCAATCGGTCTCATTCGAGACAATGATGAATCCGCGTATAGAGGGGAGGTTGAACAACTAGCCTCATGATGCAACTGGAACAATCTGGAACTGATCACACTCAAAACCATAGAAATGGTGGTGGACTTTAGGAGAAACCCTCCCATACTACCACCTCTTACAATACTAGACAACACGGTATCAACAGTAGAGACCTTCACAATTCTAGGTTCTATCGTATCTCAAGACCTAAAATGGACACCTAACATCAAAAACGTCATCAAAAAAGCACAACAAAGAATGTTCTTTATGCACCAACTCAGAAAGCTCAAACTGCCCAAGGAGCTGCTGATACAGCTCTACAGAAGAACTATTGAGTCTGTCATGTGCACCTTTATAACTGTCTGGTTTGGTTCTGCAACCCAACAAGACAGATACAGACTTCAGAGGATAATTAGAACTGCAGGAAAAACAATGGCTACCAACCTGCCTTCCATGGAGGACCTGGATACTGCACGAGTTAAAAAGAAGGCTGTCAAAATATTTACAGACCCCTCGCATCCTGGACATAAAATGTTTCAACTCCTACCCTCAAAACGACGCTATAGAGCACTGCACACCAGAACAACTAGACAAAAGTAGTTTTTCCCCAAACACCATCACTCTGCTAAACAAATAATTCCCTCAACACTATCAAACTATTTACTAAGTCTGCACTACTATTAATCTTGTCATCGTTCCTATCACCCATCTCCTCCCACTTATGACTGCATGACTGTAACCTTGTTGCTGATATCCTTACGATTTATATTGACTGTTTCCTAATATGATTTGATTGCTTAATTGTACCCTATGACTATCATTAAGTGTTGTACCTTATGATTCTTGACGAATGGATCTTTTCTTTTATGTACACTGAGAGCGTATGCACCAAAGACAAATTCTTTATGTGTCCAATCACACTTGGCCAATAAAAAATTCTATTCTATTCTATTCTATTCTATTCTATTCTATTCTATTCTATTCTATTCTATTCTATTCTATTCTATTCTATTCTATTCTATTCTATTCTATTCTAATCAGGTGGCATCTACAGAGGGCTGGCCACTTCTGGTCACTCAGGGGCTGCAATTGTAGAATTCATACCGCTAAATGTCTATGGAGATTCTGCGTCATCCAGGTCATAGTTGTCCCAAAGGTGCTTTTTTTCAAGAGGCAACTGGATTTTCTGGGTTTTCTTTGAAGGCGTTTTGCTTCTCATTCAAGAAGCTTCTTCAGCTCTGACTGGATGGTGGGGAAGGGAAGGATTTATATGCAACTGTTTGCAAGGAGTATAAATCCTCCCATTCTCCCCCCCCCTCCCATCCAGTCAGAACTGAAGAAGCTTTTTAGATGAGAAGCAAAACGTCTTCAAAGAAAAACAAGGAAGTCCAGTTGCCTCCTGAACAAGCACCTCTGGGATAACCAGACCTCTGGATGACAGAGAATCTCCATAGACATTTAGCTATGCAATTTGGGATGACGACCCTTTGAATGGTGCATGAGAATGAACAGATTTCCAGAAAAATTGCAGACTACAGGAACCGTTTGCACTTCAGTTTGCGATGCAGACAAAATACAGACTCATCCCCAACAGCCTGCACCTGCGCACAACAGGGGAGGGACACAGGGCAGAAAAACATTCTGCAGAAAGCCCACCCACAATAAGACAGATCAATTTCACAACTGAGGTTTTGAAAGAGGGGGTGGAGCACATACTCCAAGAGCTGAAATCGCTTCTACCAACAGAAGTATTGGAACAGGTCACAGAATTTATAAAGAAGGCACAACTAACGCAACACCACAAGAGCAAAGAACGACAAAAAGGCAAATTTTCTACCCGACAGC